TCAAAACAGGATGGAGGAAAAAATAAATATAAAACAAAATTTTTAATTACAAAAAAAACCATGGAGGTAGTTCCAATGCATAAGAGCATCCCAAAATACGGATGTAGAATACTTTTATTATTGTAATAAATGCAATATTCTTTAAAATGGGGAAGCTGATAGAGTTAGAGCAAAAATAATTTGAAGAATATGACTTTTGCTTCTCCATTTTGGAGAAAATTTTGGGGAAACTGTTAGAGATGCCCTAAGGGGTTATATAAAATTTACCCTTTAAAGTGACAAAACTTCATCCCTAAAATTTTGGATTAATTTGATACTTGACCTTATTTAAGGCTCATTAACTCTTAGGATCGATGACTCAATTTACTCCACCACACGGGTCTTTCCTAATTTAGAAAAACACAATTTTTTTCTCTTTTCCTTGTTCACACAAATTCTCAAGTTAAAAAAGAACAACCATATACAACTACGGTACCATAATATTCGTACCTGCGTAGTGTTCTTCTCTCTCACATGCTCGCTTACTCCGTTCACACGTTCAACTTCAGAGGGGGCCCCAAATAGAAACAGCAAACCTTGGTATGGAGATAGCGCACTGTTTGAGATATCAAATTGCAACAAATCAAACAAGACATTTTGAGGTACGCTGAAGCTTCCGAGAGCATTATGATGAAAAGAGGAGGGTGCCACGTCAATCCAAGTCATGGTCGATCCGTTCACAAGTGGTCTGCGGATCTATGACACATTTGTGACCGTTGGACCGACGGCTCGGGCCCGACCCGGTCCGGTTTGCTAAAAGTAGCCTATAACAGCTATTTTTTGGTTAATTGACCAAAATATCCCCAAAATAGATCAAAAATAATTAAAATTTGAGAGTATTTTGGTCATTTGACTAGGGAATGCCTCTGTCATTTAATTTTCTCATTCCTACTCCTACTACACCTACTAGAGCTACTCCTCCTACCGATGTTGATTTTGAATCCGGTGGCGACAATGCCACACTTAGAGCTCCTAAAAGGCCGAGATCCGATGTGTGAAATTTTTTCGAGAAGATAGAAGTCACCAGGGATCAACATGATAAACTTCTCATCATGAAGGCTAAATGTGAGTTGTGCGGTCATATTTTCCAAGCTTATCATAAGAGCAGCACCAACAATCTCAAACGCCATTTGGAAAAACACAATAGAGCTCAAGCGACAACATCTCAAAGAGACATCCGTTAATCTCTACTCTCTCAATCATCAACCTTCGGTGGCCTCGGTTCCCGAAATTACAATGCAATTAAAGCCAGAAAATGTGTCATCATGTTTATTGTTCCTAAAAACCTTCCTTTTAAATTAATAGAAGATTATGAATTTGAGGATATGATCAAACTTTTATCCCTCATTTAAAAAAATTTCTCATCAATCTTATAACCGTGATATTTTAAAATATTATCACGATAAAAAAATAAAAATAATTTCTTATTTTTAAAACTTAAACTGTAAATTTTATCTAATTTCTGATATTTGGACATCTAGAACACAAACTGGTTATTTATTTATCACAACACACTGGACTGGTAATACCTGGCAAATATTTAAAAGAGTTGTTTTTTTATTACAATTGAAGATTCACCCACTAGTGTTAATATTACAAATTTAATAATAGAAGAACTTATAAAAATTAGAAATTTTTAAAAAATATTTTCTCTTTCACTAGATAATGCAAGTAATAATAATGTAGCTGTGGATCATATTAAATCATCTTTACTTTTGTCATGTCACGGTGAAAATTTTCATATTAGATGCATATGTAATATTTTAAATTTAATTTTTCAAAATACATTTAATAAAACTAAACTCATGATAGAAAAGATTAGGGTTATAGCTTATGCACATAATGTTTATGAACAAAGACTTAAAAGATGGAAATGTTTGTGTAAAATATTTTTTTTAAACCCACGTTAATTCCAAAAGATGTTGACCGCAGGTGGAATTCCACCTTTGCAATGTTAAATATAGCAATAGATTATAAAAAAAATTATAAATAATTTTATTACTTTCTATGCTTCTAGTTGTAGCTCTGGTAGTATGCATGGAATAACTGATGAAGAATGGACAATTATATATAATATAAAAGAGATGCTATAAATTTTTTATGAAGCTACTATGTCATTATTTGGTTGTTATTGTCCAACTATTATTCAAGTTGCTTTACAAGTTTTAAGTATTCAAACTTTTTCACTAATTATCGTATGGATAATTATTTTGAAAATATAATTTTTTAAATAAAAAGTAAATTTAATAAGTATTTTTGATCTACTCCTATTATTTTTAGTTTGGAAGTTCTTATTGATCCATATTTGAAGGATGTTTGCCTTCAAAATTTGTTAAATTCTTTGTATGAGAACATGATAATAGATACTAATGATGGTTAGACTATTACTGCTCTTACTCATCATAACACTATTAAATATTATTTTTAAAGATTATTCGATAAGTATGCAACTAGATATAGTGTAAATACACCTCAACCTACAACTTTTGCTTCTACAACTTCAAGCTAGGGCAAATGTAAGAGTTTTGATATGCAATTAATGATAGCGAGGCTAACTGGTAACTGTAGATCTGGATCTGGATCTGGATCGTTATTAAGGAAAGTTTCTAAAATTGAATAATATTTATCTACACATTTAGTTGATGCTCAAAATAATGATTTCAACATTTTGCAATGATATAGAGTATATGGAATAGTTTTATAGCCTATACTTTCCATGACTCGTGACTTATTATTAGTGCATGTTTCTACAGTATCTTCGAAATCCACCTTCAACACATCAGAACGTTTGATCGACAACAATAGAGCATCACTAGATTCGTCTCTCATATATGCGGTAATGTGCCTACAAGATTGGTGGAGGTCTGAGAAGAGAACTCAAGACATCGACCGGAAGACTAGTATTGAAGATAGACTTGATGAGTTGACAATAGGAGATAGAGATAGAGAGTAGAAATTACTCATTAGTTTGTAATTTTTATTTCTTAGCTGTAAATTTGTAATGCATTATTTTGTAAAGACTTGTAAATGATAGTGATATAGATGAGTAGGTGTCAACCTAGTTGGAAAGTATTCATCTATTCTGATGCAATAAATTCTAATAAATTTACAAATGTTAGTGATTAAGAATTTATTTTTTATCATTTTAATTTTCATGATACTTGTATTTGTAAATTGTATAATTACGAATAATTAATAATATGATTGAATTTTTATCAAAATTTCACATATTTTATTTTTAATTATTCTTGAAATCTTATTTTTTTTTTAAAAAAAAACTATTTTTTAAGAAAAAAAGAATAATAACCGGACTGGCCTCGTGTTTGGATTGTTCGGGTCAGAACCCGGACCCAGCCCGAGCCTACCGAGCCCGGCTCCAGGTCCCCTTTTTGCCCGGCCCGACCCGTTTAGACAGCCCAACCCTAATAACAAGTGCTTTGAAGTTTGAAGGAGTTGACATATGTACGTCGCCAAAAAGTTATTCTATAGCGACGGAAAATCCGTCGCTATATACCCGTCGCTATCAATTAGCGACGGATTTGCCATCGCTAAAGGTAGATTTACCTACCCTTACAATAGTGACGGAGTTTTAGCGACGGAATTTATTTTTTTCCGTCGCTAAAACTTTTAGCGACGGATTTTGGACTTTTGGCGACGGATTTTTCCGTCGCCAATAGTCCCCTTTGCAGTAGTGTACGGCAGATGATTTTCATAATGTTAAGTATAGCATTGTATCAAGTTTTCCTTTTAAAAGCCATGCATTGTCTTAAGAGATGAGATAAGAATAAGCACAAGCTAGTGACTAATTGAAGGTTATTTATAATGACGATAAGATGAGACAGAATCGATTGAAAAGATTTGATCATGTACATTATAGTTCAATAAATACACTAGTTGGTAAAAAGTAATAATATTACAATTAATGAGATAAAGAAGACTAGAAGTAACATATATAAGAGAAATTGATCATGAGATTCAACTTAATGGAGGATATGATCTTCAAGATGTCATTTGTAACGCAGCGCGGAAGTTGTAACATCGGAATCCACCAAGGGTGTTTTCTGAATCCACAAAAAACGATCTTCAAACCACGAAGAATTTCGAATCCACGAAGAAAATATTAAAAAGAGAAATTTTATTGATGAAAAGTTATTCTCCTTTGGGGTTACTTAAAAAGAGAAATTTTATTGATGAAAAGTTATTCTCCTTTGGGGTTACATGACTCTTCTTAAATAGAATAACAAATAAGTCTCCTTTGGGGTTACATGACTCTTCTTAAATAGAATAACAAATAAGACTCCTAGTAAGACTAGAATTACAAAAATAGAAAGTATCAAATAAGACTCCTAGTAAGATTAGAATTACAAAAATAAAGAAAGTGTCAAATTCTATCCTAAAAAGACTCCTTATAATAGAGGAAACAAATCATGAATCAAAATTGATTTTGTTTCCTAATCTAATCTGACTCTAAAATTAAATTTATTTCCTAATCTATATTTCCTAATCTAAATAGACTCCAACTCAGATTAAATGTCCTACATCAGTCTCCCCTTGTTGAAAGAATCTCGACCTCGAGCTTATATTTGTTAGAATAGTAGCTTCATTGATAAATAATTTTCTTCTCTTGCAATTATCTGCATCCGCCTTATATTTAGCGTTGATTTTCTCCATATGTTGTTTTGTCTCCTCTGCTAGGGCTTCTTCTGTATAAAACTCGTGTATGAATCTTTCCCATGATATGTGTATGTAATTGGCAACATGTGGCTCTGTAGTTGGCATAAAAAACTCTTCTAAATATATTCCATGTTGCTTTCTATATTCTAATGTCGGTGGTATCATCTCATTGTTGTTGAAATTATTGATGATCATTGCTTCAAAAAAAGAATTTTCTTCCTCATACTCCATACATAATTCTTTCATCTTCTTTGCCTCGAGCCCTCCACCAAGCAATTTACACATACCATCAATTGTCTCACTCTCTATTTTATCCTTCTCCTCTATCGGAACAACATTAATATGTTGAATATCACTCTCAACCACTTTAAGAATATCATGCATATCATCCATCTTCACTATCATATCACCATCATGCATTTCATGCATATCGAGTGTTTGCACCTTATGAGGAATTTCGGTAGAGGCATGTTCTTCTTTTTCAGTTACAACCAAGTCACAGACCTCTTCAGATTGCTTCAAGTTTTCTGTTAAAGCATCGTTGTTTGTCACGAAGAGTTCCTTCCTCTTAATAGTCTTTATCTTAGATGACTCCTTTTCTGTAAGAGACTTTAGCACAATTCGTCGACCATCCTTCTTAAAGATGTAAACGTTATCTTTCCCCCTATGCGTGGCATCAACATCAAACTGCCAAGGTCTGCCTAACAACATATGACATGCATCCATCTCTACTACATCACACAATGCCTCATCCACATAAGTTCGGCCAATAGAAAAGGATACCCGACACACTTCATCAACCTGTACGTCATTACCCTTGCGAATCCAGCCGATCTTGTAAGGAGCGGGATGCTTCTCTGTCTTCAACCCTAACTTCTCCACCATGCGCCGAGAGACAATATTCTCGCTGCTCCCACTATCAATGATGACATCACAGATCTTCTGTTGCACCGTGCATCTCGTTCGAAAGATGTTATGCCTCTGTGGTGGTTCTTCTGCCTTTGGAGCCAACAATAGTCGCCGCACAACACATGAGAGTTGTTCCCCATCATCATCAGCATCCAACCCACCATCATAGTCTTCATCATCGTCTCGGTCTGCATCCTCATCTTCATGATCCACCATGTTCACAGTACCTCTTTTAGGGCACTGATTGGAACGATGACCAGGCTGTCCGCATCTATAACACTTGATCGGGTCAGGTTTGGCATAAGGGTTCGCTGGAGTAGGTTTCTTCGCTGCAGTCGTCGCTGGCCCCTTGCCCTTTTCTGTCGTAGCACGATTAAAGTTCGTGCGCGAACCGTCGGAAGCTGCCCACGATCCTTTACTATTTCGTCCAAGCTGTCGCTCCACCTTCTCGGCTAGGCTAACCGTGTCTGCCAATGTATAGGTCTGCTGCAAAGATACACGATCCTGAATCGCTATCCTTAATCCCCCAATGTATCGAGACATCTGCTGCGCCTCACTCTCGTGTAAATTGTTGCGGGATGACAGTCGATAGAACTCCTGCGTATACTCATTCACGGTTCTTCCACCTTGCCTACAATTCTGATACTGCCCAAATAAAACTTGTTCATAATCACTTGGTAAGAAACGGGCTCTCAGTAGCTTCTTCATCTTTTCCCACCTATCGACCTTCGGCTTTCCTTGACGAGATCGATTCAAACAAACAGATTCCCACCAAGCTGAAGCTCCACCTTTGAGTCGGTAGGCCACTAATTTTACCTTGCGTTCTTCTGGGATCTCCATATACTCAAAGAACCTCTCTACTTCTGCAATCCAGTCGAGGAACTCTTCAATATGCATTTGTCCGTTGAAAGATGGCAGATCCATCTTCATCTTAAAACCTCCAACGTCATAATTATCCCTTCGTCGTCGGTCTCTGCGATAACCACCGCGGCGTGGGGGTGCATAATGATCTTCCTCGCTGTCAGAATCTTCATACGGAGTCGGCTCACGTCGTTGGCGACCATCAACGCGATTTCGATCTCCTGTCGTGTCCATACGCTCTACTGCCGCAGCTAGTCGCTCCATAACAGTCTTCATCTGATTGACATCGGCCTTTAGCACGTCGAACTCAGTTCGAGAGATATGAGCTTCATCACCTGCCATCGGATCGGAGAAACAAGGCTCTGATACCAATTAACGCAGCCCGGAAGTTGTAACCTTGGAATCCACCAAGGGTGTTCTCTGAATCCACAAAGAACGATCTTCGAACCACGAAGAAAATATTAAAAAGAGAAATTTTATTGATGAAAAGTTATTCTCCTTTGGGGTTACATGACTCTTCTTAAATAGAATAACAAATAAGACTCCTAGTAAGACTAGAATTATAAAAATAGAAGTATCAAATAAGACTCCTAGTAAGACTAGAATTACAAAAAGAAAGAAAGTGTCAAATTCTATCCTAAAAAGACTCCTTATAATAGAGGAAACAAATCATGAATCAAAATTGATTTTGTTTCCTAATCTAATCTGACTCTAAAATTGAATTTATTTCCTAATCTATATTTCCTAATCTAAATAGACTCCAACTCAGATTAAATGTCCTACATCAATTTGACAGCTGTAAATTGAGTTAACGCATTAAACAAAAAAGTTAAAAGAGGGTTAATTAAGATAACCTTTCTAGATCGGTTAAAATGAGTTTATCTTTCAATTTGAGAGATCTACTAATCCGCCTCCTCCTAGACAAGTTAAGAAATAACCCCTTTATTTCTAATTAAGTTACTTGTAGTCTTTACTATTTTCAAATATTACAAAAGATGTTATACCCATTTATTTGTCCACAGCAAGAATTTAAAATTGCATGGATGAGTTAACAAGATGGTGTAGGAATCAAATGTAATAATGTCTAGTAAATTTAGAGGTAGCTCTTATGGGTTCTAAAGGTGGCTGAGCTTTCACCTTGCTAGCATAATTTAACACTTTTTCTTGTATATTACGTACTTCCACATTAGTTATCTAAATGCTAGAGTAACATTGTCATGCCAACAAATTCATGGGTCCAGGTTGTGACAAGTTATGGTATCTTAGCAGTTAACTAGCCAGAAGTATGATACTAAGTGTTATGTGGGACTAGTACTAGATGACATTTGGGTGGTGAGAGCCAGATTCACAACCCATAGGAGTCACCTCTACAATCCACATCAAGTGATGGTGATCCTGGAATTGACCATTGTCATGCCGTGATGAATATGTTGCATAGTTTGAGTTGGAATGATGGTGAATACCCTATATGATTGTCCCTCTTTGTGAATCTAGAGAAGTATTGATTGGTCTGTAAGGTGGGTCATAAGAAGCAAATGTAATAATGGCTAATCATTTAGACAATAATTAATTTGAGCCAAACAAAATATTGCATTTAGTAATCCAGGACTTCCTAGGCTCATGGGTGCATAGCGCGACAAAAGATCATAAATATTAAAACAAATCTTACATAGCAAGTTAACAACTTTAATCCTTAACTTGAAATATCAAATGGGCTATATAGGTTAACTCTCCTCCTTAATCCCTCTTCCTTAAACCTTTGTCAAGCGGACTTAAGAGAACCGAATAAACTTCATATGACCAAAGTGAAGATTTTGGATTAAAGACCTTGTTGATAATGTTTGCCTAGTTTCCTTTCTTATAATTTCCATTCGTTAGAAATTTCTTTACTTGGAACATTCCATAGAGAGCTTGAAACTCTAAAGTTACGATGCGATTTGAGGATTATAATTCTATATTATAACGTTGAGACATTTCTGTCTTCAACTTTTCAACAGCGTTTATGGTGGTGCGCTAGCAATCAAGTTACATCATCATCTAGATTCTTAAGGACCACAATTGGCCTGTCGCTTAATGGTGTTAGTGAACAGACCCTTTGTCCACATTATTTGTATCATGGTAGACAGGGGCTTACCCTTGAGAAAGAAGTGATATCCCAAGCTCTCCTTTTTCTTCCCCCTTCAGAAATTGGTGGATCTCAAGTGTTGTGAGCAAAGAGACAGAGGCTGCCAAAAAAAAAAAAGCAGGGGACCAATAAGCTAACCCATCACCTTTAATTCATATGAGCAAATTCACATGCACACATGTGATCTCGGTCATGGAGAACTCTGTTCATTGGAGGCTTGGGGCCATTCTCCAATCTCCCATTTCTTACTTTCGCACCCCTAACCATGTTTCTGTTTCTGTGCTGGTCTCTCTCTGTTTTTTAATTAATTAATTAATTAATTTTGGCTAGGAAATAGTGTGACTCATTTATTAATTTTGTTATATACTCTTTTTTTTCTCCTTTCTAAGCTTTCCTCTTGATCTTCTTCCATTGTACCTCTCCTCATTTATGCACTTTCTGTATCTCTTTTTCTAGGCAATAAATTCTACAGATACCCAGCTACGTACGTACGCAAGAAAAGTCTTAGTCATATAAGTAAGGGTGCATTCGATCCGGATACAGCTCGGATATGATACATATCATATCCATTTTCACTTACTCATCTCGGATATGGATACAAATATGGATATACCTCGGTAATAATAATTCATATCTATACGCCTAAAATCGAATAC